CTTCTAAGTCTCCCCCACCCATGCATCCTCCCTGATCAAGTTTAGACTTCCTGCCGACTTCCCCATTGACTTGTGGGAAGCTGTCAGGGAGCATTGGAAAGGAGGATCACGTGACTGCAGCTGAGTGCGGCAGCGGCGCTGAAGTGGCAACTTTTCCAAATTTCAATCCCATGGGAGTAATTGGTCCTGGATTTTGGATGCATTCTGTAAATTTGCCCATTTGAAGTACCTTGTTTAAAAAATTGTTGCCCTATGATGCACTGTTTCGCCCAGTTGAAGGTTACAAACAATCAAAAAGACACAAGGGTTTCAGTAGTATATAAATTAAGACTTATGGAAAAAGTGTCCATTAATTATTGTTATGAAGACAGTGGCTCAGGAATACACAAATATGGAAAAGATGGAAATCTGCAACTTAGGTGGATCGGAAGATTGTGATCGGTCTGTTGCCACAAAATAGAGTCCCATGAACATTAAGGAATCAGGTCAGGAATAAAGAAGATGAAGAACTTAGCTTGACTCTACACCAGGAAATCACCATTCCTGATCTCTAGAGAAAGATGGTATGTTGGGCTAGGGATTAAAATTAATTTGGATCATTCTCTTTCAAGGGACTTGGGTTGGGTGCTACTCACAACAAATTGTAGTTCCTGCTAATACTAATGCTAATATTCTGTCCTTCCACAAAAAAAAAAAAAAAAAAAGTCCAAGAAGAAGGGGGTTGCACTTATTTACATGGTGGCCCATACATCCTTTTAAATATTTTCTAAATTAAATCTTACACTATTCTAATGGTACTGAGGTCTTTGAAAAATACATTTTCTTTTATTGCTTTATGGAATGCCCACAGGACAGTGCTATAAGCTTACAAAGTTACTTAAATGTTAAAGTATTTAACAAATTGATCTCAAGCCTACCTCAGAGCTCATAAAACAGTCATATTCCTCTGTGCCTAGTGGTCCAATCTGGTAAATCTTCATGTAGTTCCATAAATTTTTAATTTGCCAAATTGGAAATTACCCTAAAAGCAGAATGTAAATGAAATGGACTTAACTCTGATCTAATATTCCCTCCTCTGATCACCACTCATGTACTAAGAGATAACTTGTTATTTAATGTAGAAGCTTATATGTTTTAAAAAAAAAACTTGCTTACCAATTCTGGAGAGCAAGTTTGATGTAGTGGTCGAAGGTGCTGGGTTAGAAGTAGGGAGATCTGAGTTCTAGTCCTCAATTAAGTACAGAAGCCAGTTGACTGATGTTGGACCAGTCATTTTCTCTCAGCCATAGCCTGCAAAGTTGAAAACCATCCCAGAAAAAGATACTGGCAAATCACTTTCAAAAACGTTACCAAGAAAACTGTATAGACCTGTCTATGTAGCCACCAGGAGTCAAGATTGACTCAAATAGCTGTAATAACACCATTATCACTTGTGTTAAAAGGGGACACTTCTGAGGCCTAGGTGTTTTGAGCAAAAATCAAATGAACGAGCAGCACTTACTAGATATTTTGATGGACATTCTTTAGTCCACTGTGTTATTACTATGAATGGGGCCATAGGCTCCTCCCTGTTCCACAAATAGTGCTGGTTTATTTGACTTTATTTTTATGTTACCATGACATCCAAATGTAGCATGATGGATTCTTTCAAATAATTTGTTTTAAATTTCCTTTTTTTAATCTGTTCTCACTGAAAGAAATCATTGCAACTTGCTAAGATTAAATGACATAGTAAAAGCATACCAAGGTAAATAAACAGTTTACAACTGTTCCATTTCAGCACTGTTGACCACCTGTTTTTTGCAGTAATTGTCATGTTTATGTTGCTTATCAGTTGTATGCATGAAAGTCTACCTGACTTTTGAATAGATCAGATTTGTTGTCTTGTACTTTTGTGAGTAAAACTGTACAGTTTTTCTGTGCTATTTTTAACATTTTAAATGGGGAAAAATAACTTTGTTTTCCAGGAAGACATAAAATCCTTAACAGCTCATGTAATTGAGAATTATTGGAAGGCGCTAGAAGATGTAGATTACGTGCAGACTTTCAAAGGTTTGAAATTACGTTATGAGCAGCAAAGGGAAAGACAAGATAATCCCAAACTTGACAGGTTAGTGCACTCTGAAATTATTATTAGATCTTTGTCTATTGAAAATTTTCTGAAAAACAGAACAAGATTTGTAGTTCAGTTATTGAAATGTCTTTTCTGTGGACAGTTGAATGATCATTTATTCTTAAATGACGAGCCTAAGGAAGGATGTAATAGATGTACTGTTTCGGAGAGATGTTTTAATTTAAAAAATATGTCAGGACTGTACAGAAAATACACACATCATACAATTGAACAAGATAAATTTTCTACGTTAGTGTTGCAACATAAATCTGTATTATTCAATGCCAAGAATGACAGAAGGTCCTGAAATCTATAATTCACTACCAGTATGGTTTTATAATACTAGTTGCACTTTGCAGGAATAAGTTGTATGTATGTCACTCACCTGGGAGATGCTCCTCAGTCATCCAAATAATGGAGATAATGCAGTGCAGAGATCTGTTAGAAAGTGAAAAATTTACCAAATCTAAGCACAGCCCTGTTAGCTAACTTAATTTGCATGAAGAAATGTATTTTTAAGAATGCTTCTGAATTCCCAGATCTATGAAGAGGGAGACACATCCATTAACACTGCTGGGAGTCAGGTGGCATATAAATTTTATTATTGTTGTTAAGAAGAAGACACCATTTTGCTTGCTGGATAAAATTGGCTAAGAGATTGTGCTTGCACTTGCAAAAGCTGTATACAATGTTGCAAAAAATAGCTAAGAGAGTAATATGTTTATGCATATATTTTAAAACTGCAGTTGTTTTATGTATTTATTAATGAAGTTTATGTAATGCCTGAAAACCAGAATTACGTTAACCTGATCACAGTTAGACTCATTGACTTAGGAGAATCTTGCTTCTCTTTGTTGTATAAGAAAATACCTCACGGTTGATCTACAAAATTTTAAATATATATTACAAATTAACCCATGCAAAATACAGTTGAACTGCTTTATTTTTGCATAACCTTATGTTTGCACAGTGGCTAAGTAACTAGGTCAGAAATGGTAATACGTGTTGACACATGAGCACTTTCTCTTTTTCTCTCATTAATACTGCACATGTGGAGTTAGCTTAGTAGGAAAACACATGTGTTAAAGTAGTTGATTAAGTGCATTCCAGAAATATTAAAGGATTAGGATTCAGCATGATACTCATTTTAGCAGTGTGCATATATTATAGCCTCATTGCAAAAACATCCTTTTATAGCATGCGATCCATCTTAAGAAACCATAGATACAGAAGAGACGCAAGGACTTTGGAGGATGAGGAAGAAATGTGGTTCAACACTGATGAAGATGATATGGAAGATGGAGAGGTAGTGGTGCCACCCTCTGATAAAAGTAAAAATGATGAAGATATTATGGATCCTATAAGTAAATTTATGGAAAGAAAAAAATGTAAGTAACTTAGGGGAACATGTTACTAGTTGCCAGCCTTGTCCCGTTCACTAATCCCCCTGGCCAACATGGGGTAGAAAAGAGCAGGTAAGCTGCAAAGACAAAGGAGCTTCAGTAGTTAGAAAAGCCTTTGGATCACTTGCAGGACCACCTGTCTCCTGTTATTTCAGCACATCTCACAAGATATGGCAGGGTAAGCATGCTCTAGGTCAGTGTTTTTCAAACTTGGCAACTTTAAGATGTGTGGACTTCAACTCCCAGAATTCCTCAGCCAGCATGCTGGTTGGGGAATTCTGGGAGTTGAAGTCTGCACATCTTAAAGTTGCCAAATTTGAAAAACACTGCTCTAGGTCCCTTCTATTAAGCAGCATCATCTGAGCGGACCCAAGAGACATGCTTTAAGGGATTTACCAAGTAGATGTAAGTGTTCTTGGACGTAATGCATTTTTGGTTGGTTTGTTGCTTTTAACCTGGTATTACCTGCCCAGGGTCACATTGCAATTTGAGCACCCGTATTAAATGATTGAATAAATAAATAAATATTTTCTGTAGCAGAAAGACTAAAACAGTACCTGAATAGAAAGAGTGGTAAATCCATACCATAATTCACTTCCTGCCCTAAATAGCACAAACAAGCTATTTACTGTATCCATGTATTTTCAAAATATGCACAACTAGGTTTTATTTGAAAGGCTAGTATGGCCCTAATAATAACTAGAATCATGATTAACCCTGGACTACTGGATTATCTTTCTAGCACAGATCTCTCCCTGCTTTTCCTCTGCTGCCATTTACTGTGATTACAACTTCTATTTTTGTTAAGATGTAGCTGTAATCTAATGCCAACTTGGGTTTTTTATTAATTTGAAATCTGGTTATAACAAACTGTTAACTCATAAAAGCAAGTCAGCAAGGAAAAGTTGTCTGAGTTAAATTTACTTGCCTGTGTTTGTATTGCATATATTGTATCTATTCAACAATTCTTCTGTAGGTTGCTTTCAACAACAAATACAGTATAAATCGGTAATAAATGGAAGTAATGCAAAACATCATAAAAGTAGTCAGCATCAATGCATAAAGCAGTAAAAATAGATATAATTAAAACTTTACAGTAGAGCTAAAATTTAGTAGATTAAAATTCACAGATTTAAAAAGCTTGGGAAAAATTTTAAAAGTCTGCTGGTAGTACTGAAAATAGTATAAAGAAGTGGCTAGGTAAGCCTTTCCACTGACGAATATTATTCCCTACTTGGTAGATTTGAAGAGATCTTTATGCAGTTGTGAGTAGGTATAGGTAACAACTAATGTCTTTTCCATTTGGGGGGAAGGCGGGAATAAAAGTTCACTGAAATAAGCAGAGGTATTTCAGTAGTGTGATCAAGTGGTATCTTTATCCTATTTGCTTAACAGTACAACTTGTTACAGCAGTGTTTGTTTTACATTGCAGTTAAAGAAAGTGAAGAAAAGGAGGTCCTTCTGAAAACGAACATTTCAGGTCGCCAAAGTCCAAGTTTTAAACTTTCCTTCTCTAGTGGTACAAAGACTAACCTCACCAGCCAGTCATCAGCAAGTAATTTGCCTGGGTCTCCTGGGTCACCAGGATCTCCTGGGTCACCAGGATCTCCTGGATCAGTTTCTAAAAGCACATCTCAGATGGCAGCTATAACTACAAAGGTACTTTTTCCCTTTAATCAAATCATGCTACAGTATTATGTATATTTTCCGTATTAGCCAATCAGTCCACACAGTTACTATTGTGCAAATGAAATTTGCTGTTTGTTTGAATAGAGTTTGTGTTTTCTCCCTCTAGTTATGTACCTGTTTAATAAAGGGATATTTAAAATAATTATCATTGATTTTGTATCTAGTTGCCCTTCTTTATTGCTTTTCACTATCCACAGTTGGAAATATAAAGAATATTTTATAGAAATTAATCTAGTAATGAGAAAGAGATTGGGGTCAGGGCTCAGAGTTTATTAACATGATGGTTAAAATGCATAATTTTAAGAATCTTATAGACCTGAGGATTTTAGGTGAAAACTACCCTCTAGTTTGTCTTCCCCCTCAGTTCTTTTTTGATCTCCACATTATCAGAGGCATTGAGACTGTTCTATATTTCTCTTGAGGTAAACTGCATCATCTTTGCTTCAGCTTTCTCATATATCCTCATCTGCAACAAAGCGCGCAAAGAATTTTGAACTTTTATTGGGGAACCTGAAATCAGTCTGAAAATCATTAGCTTTCCCAATGTTAAACCAGTCCACAAATGTCTCAGGTGCAATAGTAAATTGGCATCTGTACATGGGCACTCAAATTCGCCTTTCATATCAAGTGTTTGACAAAACAGTTCAGACACTTGATATCACTTGATACCAACTTCTTTCATGGAAACTTGCTTTCCTGACAGCAATCACCTCTAAGAAAAAAGCAAGGGTTTCTTAACCCTTTGGGTGGATCAGTCTTATTTGTAGTTCAACAAGAGCAGTGTAGCTTTCCTATTGAAGATTATGAAACTCTTTCATGTTAGAGCCTATTGTACAATGTAGTTTTCCCATCCCCTTCAACAGAACTTGAGCAATCTCTCCATTCTCTCAGCATTTGCTATACACTGGCTTACTTTGTAGTTTGGACTGTACATCTCCATTGGTTTTGGCATTTATTCATTTGTTATTGAAGACTAAAGATTTCACCTGAGTGTACCTGCCATCCAACCAAATTGGATAGAGTAGACATATTCCAGGTTCCTTCCCTTGAATGTTGCCATCTTGTGGAACCTAGGAGGCACACCTTTTCCATGGCAGCCCCTCCCCTCTGGAACACCCTTCCCCTTGAGATCCAGCAAGCCTGTATCCTCTTGAACCTCTAGAAAGTCATAAAGAGCTTACTCTTTCCTCAAGTAATAGGATAGGATGAAGTCAGGGTTGGAACACAGCATTGTTGGTTGCATCAAGAGAAATTGGTAGTGATGTCAGGTTTCTGTGTTTCTGTTTTTATTGTTTCATGCTTTTATTTATTTTTTGTATGATGTTTGGTTTTATATAACTGTTGTGAGCTGCCCAGAGTTGTGGTTCTAAGATGGGCAGTCATACAATTCTTTTAAATAATAAATAAATAATTTTTCCCCATAATGGAGGAAAGGTACCATGAAGCTTTCTGATAAAATAGTATAGTAACTCACTCCAGTAGGCTTCAGAGGATATTCTACCAGAAAAATTGCAGATAGTAAAGTAGCCCCTTGGGCCCGATCTCTACCTTCATCAGCGCTATTGTTTAGATGTCCATATGAAGTCTGATACTTCTTTTCTTTTTGTTCCCATGGTGCAGCTGTTTCTTCTCCAAGTTGTCAATTACCAAATATGTGTGATGCACAGAGTCCGCAATGAGTAATTAATTGCTTAACTGTAATTGTGGTTGTTCAAATAGTCATCTGTGCATTCATACAATTCATCCATCTACCCTTTTGCAGGTGCCTGTGCTTATAGATAGGGAAAGTGGGAGACACATTGTACATGCACACTGGAGAGCAGCTCCTGTCAAAAATCTTCAGCTCTAGAAGGTTCCCAGCATGAGCTCTGCATTAGTGTATCTCCCACATGAATGCACAGATGACCACACAAAGAATAACAGTTATAGATAAGCAATATGTTCTTCTATAATATGCAGATGTCAGTTGCTTGTTCTTGTTTTTTGATGATGAATGAATCAATATGAGTAACTTGAAAAAATAAATGAAAGGTACTATTATTACTTTGCTTGTTTGGACAGGAACTACATGCAACAGATTAAACCTTCTCAGTTTGCCATATCTATCATGCACTATTTTGCCAGTTTTCTTGAAATAGCTTTAACTATAGGTTGCAGTATTCGATCCACTGATTTAGGAAAAGATTAGAACTTTTGTCATGAGAACCTTCATTCTGCAGTTCGCTGTTGTGAAGAACCAAAATTTTATGGTTCGGTCAGCATTAAACAATGTGATTCGTTTAGGGTCAGGGTTAGTGTCTTCAGTGAATCCATCCATTGTGGCTTATTCAGCAAACCTTGATTATGTATAATGTATGATCCCAGACATTTCAACACTAATGAAGATATACATTCTTTGTTCAGTGTCATCTATCAAAAATCTTTCTTTCCTGAACCAACAGGCAAATTGATGTTTTTTGCAGCAGTTTTCTTGTGATCTTTTTCCTACCAAATAATGATTTGTATCTCTAAGGATTTGTTGGACTCTAGTAGAATAAAATAAACAAAGAGATTGCAATGTATCAGAGTTACATCTCGCCAGAAGAAACCAGTCTTTGAAAAAGCTATGAATAGGTTTCGCAACTATGTTGTTCATGGGGAGAAACCCTAATTGCCTTTGCAGATAAATCAGATTTAGTGGTCTTACCCATATTAATTTTGTCTATTCAAAATTAAAGGTGGTATGTTTTTATTACAGAGAATTTCAACTCATTAAAGTGCTTAGTAGCATAATTATACTATTAGGGGATTGTATCGCATATGGAAAATTATGTGTATTTGTCATACTCTATTTTTTAGGACAACATATTGTATTTATCATGAACAGCATTCATTTAATCCCAGTTTGCCTTACCTGAGTGCTAAAGAGACATCACTGTATATTTTAAGATATGGGTCAATTCAGAGTAGATAGAGCATGCGGTAGGGTAGCACTTCATAATCTTTAAACTTCATGCATCTTAATTGCTTACAAATCACCTAAACTTTTCTTAGTTGTAATAATGATAAAATACTTTTACATATTTCATGTATTAACATTACTAAGTAGCAATTCAGTATATCCATAATTTCTCATTTAAATATTGTAAACTGTTCATTAATGTGTTTTACAAGTTTATCAAAATACTATAGCTTTACATGAAACCGTTTATTTATTTATTTATTCAATTTATATAGCCACCCATCTCAAACCTACTTTAATTGATAAATTAAATTGAAGAATGCAACTCAGTTCAGTTTACATATGATTTTTGTTTGTTTTTTCAGAGAGGACTAGTTGGGCTTGTAGACTATCCTGATGATGATGAGGAGGAGGATGAAGAAAATCTACCTTTGACCCAGAAAGCAAAGCTAGAGTCTTCATAATGACAAGTATGAAGATCAGTGTGGATTATGTTATAAACTAGGTTTCCAGAAGGGGAAGTCCATATTATAAAAATAATAACTCTAATGAATTACTGTGTATAACACAGATCAACTTTAAAACATAGATTTCTGCTAATCAGTGCCAATTTGGCAGAGCAGAAGAAGAGGAAATACTACGCTTTATGGAAAAACATGCCTTTGACCTCTCCAGCTTGGACCACGCATTGCCCTTTTCTCAGGGAAGGAAATGGAAAATACAACACCAACAGGGCAGGAGTTTTGATAGTGGAATTCTGGATTGGCTGTTCAGTTGTTACAATCAGATTATGATTTCTTGGACCACGTACAAGACTTTGAAGAACAGGCTTTTCTGCCATAATTCTTCATTAGCTAAGAATGCCAGCAGTTTCTTTCTATAAAGAGACCTGCCTTTAAAACCACACATTCTGAACCTTTTAGTCAAACTACAACAGGTTTTAAAAAAACAAAACTCTTTCGGGGAGGGCTCAACATGTTTCCTCTTTTTTTAATCTGTTCCCTTTTGCCCTTTAAACTGCAGATTTTTGTTTGGAGATGAGGGATATATCTATCCCTTAATTAAAAGATTGAATGGAATTCTAGATGTCACTTTTATGTCATAATTTTATTTTTATTTTGCCCCGAGTGTATGCTTGGTTGTTGAGTATATATTTGGGACCATTAAAATTTTTTGATGTAATATAATCTCACTGTTGTGCTGGTACCTGTTTCACATGTGTAATTCTGTTCTACATCACATTTCTTAATGTGTTTAGAATTTTATGGGAGATGGTATAATTTTTATTGAAAAAGAGCAAATTAATCTTGCCACAATGTGCATACAAAAAGCAATACTATTTTGTGACTAAATATTTTATATTAAACTTTACATCATCAACTGTCTTGAAACAATTCAGGGAAATAGGTTGGTTTTTTTTACAAGAAAAAATACTTTTAAGTAATCTATAAATATGAAATTAGTATTCCAAAGAGATTTTGAAATTTCTTAACTCGAACCATGCTGGTATGTTTAAATCCAATTTAAAGTGGTTATCAAGAGTACAGTCATACTGACACATTTGAATAAAAAAAATAATTAAAATTAAGGACTACAGCATTAGTGGTATTTTTTAAAAACTGATTCCCTTTGGAATACCAGTTTTAATGTTGCACGTGATTCTGGGCTTATGATATTTTTATGAGAATTCAATTAATCTAATTCTTGGGAAGAAAATAAGTTATTCTAGAGAGGTAATAATAACTATCATTGTCTTACTGCATAGTAGACTTTAATACCCCCAAACACAAGAACTATTGTACAGATTTTATTTGAATGCATTTATTATCCTAGTCATCAAAATACCAGCAATTTTTCTGCAAAAGTGCAGGTTTCAAATATGATTTATATCCAGTTTACTAATTTTCTTCACAGTGTGGAAGACTTACTCTTTAGGTTAAAACTTCACATAAAATTTCAGTGCTCAAATATTGCACTGTACAAAATTGTTTTCAGTTTTTTAAATGTATTAGCTACTCAGTTTGGGTATATTTGCTGTTCATCCTAATCAGAGAATTCTCCAGCGATCCCATTTATTTTAGCCTGCAGTCAAACGTAGTCAATAAAGGACAAGGTATCAGAGGAAAAGAAATAGAATGAGTCCAGTATAATATCCAATCATTTTATTCATAAACATCAAATTAATTATATGCTACAATTTACAGTACTGTGCTCATGTGATAGCAATAGCAGTGTGCTATCTAGATTACACTACTTTATCTGTGTACTTTAGTTAGAATTCTTGGCATCTTAATCAAATGTTTCCCAAGATATGTTTGGAGAAATTATAGTACATACAGTGTACTATACAACTTGTAAAACTGAGTTTAAGTTCCTAGTGATAGCTTGTAATTTTTGCTGTGGACATAAAAATAGCACTTCTAAACTAGCTTTCTAAGGTCCTAAGACAGTGCTCTGTCTCTTGCATTCCGACTAACCCTCCATAAAGATGGCCTCCCCAGCAGAAGTTCTAAATGCATATTCTGTACTATCCTTTATAAACTTGGTGCCCTCCAAATGTTTTAGACCATAAGTCACATCATTCCTAGTCACTAGTTGTACTAGCTAAATTAGAGGAAGTGTTCTCAAATAGGACCTGGTTACTGTCTCCCATAGTATCTGCCCAACCAATTCAAACTTGCAGGGTTGGTGCAATTCCTTTGATTAAACAACATAATCTATCAGTGCGCCAGAAGCATACCTTCTCTATAACAGCGCCTGCCCTCTGGAATGAGGTTCTTCCAGAGATCCAGATGGCCCACATTCTGCTGCTGTTTGGTGGAGCTGTGAAGACTTAGCTGTTCACCAGGTCTTTAGCGAGGGAGAGTGAGACCTTCGCTTCATTCCATCCGGTTTGTCGTTCTTGCCATCTTTTACCTTTTATCCTTTTTTCCCTTTCATTAGTTCTATTGTAATTTCTTTGTTTTGATTGTTGCAAGTCACCCAGAGTCATTGGGAGCCAGGTGGCATACAAGTTTAATAAATTATTGTTATTAATTCTCTAAACCTGGTAAGTATTAGGTTAGGGGAAATTGTTTAGTATGGATTACAGCATAATGAATCCTGAATTTGTTACAATCATTGATCAGAAATACATCAATTTTGATTTAAACTACAAAGTACAGAGTTTAATTTAGATCAACATAGCCATCCCATGGCTTTAGCACAAAAGTTGGCTACACTAGTATCACTTCTATATAATAATCTGATTTGAGGTATGTTTTGGTCATACTGAGAAAGTTAACTAGGAAAGGAGCAAATAGTTCTAATGGCAGTATGATTCCTTATGATAACGTAACAATGCATGGGCTCCCATCTCCCTTACATAGTCACTCCAATCAGTGTAACGATAACAGTCCAGGTTTGTGTATTATATTTAACCACGGCTCTGCATGTCATCTGAGCCATACAATTAATGAATGGCTAACTCCCTATCTTCTGGTTTCCAGTGGAATTTTTAATGTTCCATTTTGCATTAAGCAAAAATCCCGAGGGAAGGGAACTTAACTTTTGTGCACCTATATTTAAAAATTTTTTTAAAGTCAAATGACAACTGGTCAGCTACTGTAAAAGCCGCTGAAATACAAGCCAGGGAATAGAAGGGCATGCAAGTAGTTGCTTCCAATGATTTACTATCCATACCATGGATAATTGAGTAGTTTTATCTACCCAATAACAATCTCCTTGGGTATGTTGGGTGAAAGTAAACCAGCGACCTCTGTGGCTGAGTAAGGACTTGAACTTAGGTCCCTCCAATCCAAGTTGAACACTTTAAGTGCTGCGAGGTTTCTCTTACTTGATTTTAATTCATTTTAATTGATTCCATCCTTCTTAAATGCCATCTAGCCTTTGGGAGGAGAGAGTCCATCCTATGGAGCTGTTAATCTTTATGAAAGTCAGTATGAATAGAGGGAATAAGCTACCATTTGTACTTCATTTTCCATTTCTAGATCATTCCCCTGCAAGGAAATGAGATAGATGTGTTTTAATATCCCCAAAGATGGAGAATTAAATGCTTACCTTAGCGGTCTTTCAATTTAGTTTTACTACTTTTTGAATACATATGATTCAGTGTATTGTTAGATGTAAAATAACTAGGATCAAATATACTTTATGCTCCCGAGAATCTATATCATACTGGCATATTCTGATATTGTACTATCTGAACTCCCATTGATGGATTTTGAAAAGCAGTCCTTTATCATGTTTGGTTTAGTTTGATGGAGGACAGAACAAGTTTCTTCAGCAGGATTTTTTCCAGATTGGTTTGGTGTACTGTACAAATTTACAGTAAACTCACTTCTTCTGAAAACGAACACAGGATCATGTGGCATCAGGATCTTCTGTACTTTTGACAAGTATTAAATTATTTCAGGACGAGCTCAGTACTTGTTTATATCACTGTGAGGTCAGATACATTTTAGAAATGTTTCCTTTGTCTTTTGGTTTCCCCAAAATTTCTAAGACTGCTTCTAAATCTACAAAATATTTAGTAAAATGGTTGAAACCAGTTGCAGAAAGTGCTTGCCCACTGATTACTTCTACTTGGGTACGTGTATGAACAACAAAAGATATCAACTACAAACAAGCAAGCTTTATTTTTATAAAGAGCAATCGGTTCATAATCTGGCCTGTATTTCTGACAACATAGTTCTTGAAAAGTATATTTAAATCTGTAAAAAGCAGCTTATTTTAAAATGTAGTACCTACAGATTCTCCATGCTTGTAAATAATCAAGAAACATTTTTTCATGCTTTTTTTTTTTAATTCTGAGAATGGCTTGGCTTGCCATCCTTCTAGCTTTTCTTTGTCCAGTCATTTTCTAAAACCAGAAGATTTTTACCTTCCCCACAGTAAATACTTCTAGAAACACAGGAGCTGGGAAGCTTTTGTTGATGCTTGGAATGGTTGCTGGGAGACAGTCAAAGACAGGCAATTACTTTGTTGACAATTGGCACAAAGTATATTTGAAATGTTTTCACTCAGGAAATTCTTCCTTCTCACTTAATTTCAAAACTGTTTTAATATGCCTGAGGAAACAGCAGTATCAGAGCATGTCTAGAGTTAATGAATCTTCACTGAAAAATATCAATACCACTAAATGGCAGGAAAGTAATACAGAAAACAGTAGTTCTTTACTTTTATCTAGTGACTAACTGGAATTTTGCAGCCCAAATCTGGTAGCCTCATCTAAGTTTTCAGGTCTTCTGACTTGAAATAGCACTGATGAAACCTGAATGAATCTTTCCTTTAAAAAAAGGAAATGGAACAACTGATTTTAAAAAATGGCGGATACCACTGCCGGGTTGGTTATATCTTTCTTCAAACCAGAAAAGTCCTAACAACTGTTCAACCCTATACATGTCTACAAGTAAGACCCACAGGGTATACTGGAATTTATTTCGAGTCTTGATTGTCTCCTAAGGTTTAATAAAATGTTCCAGCTAGGGTTTGTAGATAGCCTACCAAGAGCAGCATGCCTGATCCCTGGTCTAAGTGGAACTAGTGTTAGCAGCTTACTTGGATTCCCATTATATGTACAGTAGTACATATATTAGATTCTCAGTTGGTTCTGAATGATAGTTTAATGGTACATCCAACTGAAAAAGATACGTTCTCAGATCTTTTAAGTAATTATTCATACTTTGTATTCTCTTTTTATAGTATATGAGGGGGCTAACGGCATTACAAATAACAAAAAATGCAAGCTAGAAAAAGTAGTGATAAAAGTGCAGCAGTTACAAATGTGTTTATTAAAAACATTTACTGTAAGAAAGCAACAATTCAGAATAGAGTAAGCCAAATGTCTGCTGAAACAAATTTTGGTTTATCTGGCTGCAAGCAACGTCTATTTTCATTTTTGTCTTTTGCATCACTTTTGCATTATATCCGTTTTGTTTTGAAATTCCTCATTTGTTATGGTCACTAGGATATTTTTTTCTGACATAATAGCCACTAGATGGTGCAAATATTCTACTGCCGGATCTTTTTTAGTTACTGTAAAATGCACAGTATTTTGCCTTTCGCTAGCTAAATCACCATGTTTAAAGCTTTAGTTTCATACTGTATGAGAATTATATTTGCAACAAAGTTGCTAGGTACTTATATCATTTGAAATTGAGCCACTTGGTATAACCGGCAAAGCTAAAATGTTTATGCTAAATAGTTTCTCACTGTTCTTCAAATTTTCAGTAACTTTCCTGATATTTTTTATACCAGGAACACAAAGACTAAGTGAAATTCACAGAGACTATTTAGTTGTAGTTATTAATTTGTAGAAAAATCTGAAAATCCACAATTTTATTTTAACAACACCTTTTCCTGAGACTATGTATAGGTGTCAAAGAACATCGTCAAAGAAACGTCAGTTGTTTAAAGGAGAGGAGAAAGGAAGAAAGAAAAATTGATATGTTTGACGGACAGCTCTCAACAATTTGGACACATCCACAGTTAAACCTAATGTAGTGTCTGCCAGACTTGTCATTAAAGATCTTGCCTCATTTTTGCGTCTCACAATGCTAAAATATACATTAATGTGGTAAAAGCAACAGCTCCCTTTCCTGCTTTTCCATGCTGTGTAAAACAATAATTTATAAAACTATGCAGTGGAGGGAGTTCCTTCTTCAAAAAAGTCAATTCCATTAATCAAAACTCGGTATAACCTTGAAAATGAGGCAGGCAAATAGCAGATAATACTTCATCACAGTCCAACTGTGTAGGCATTTCCTGATTGTCAACTGGACAACAATTTCCAATGCTGCAACTCTTCCTGGATATGCAGGCACAATAGTGTTTCTGAAATGCTAGAAGTCTGGCTGTCTCATTGTACTTATTAGCAATGGAAAACAATGTAGATTCGAATCTCCAACACTACTGACTGGGCAAAATGTGTTCAGGGTCAGGACTATATAAACAGGAAGTGATTTCCCACTCGGTTCATGTAGTATTTAGGAGAGAGAAGAAAAAGACACTGGCCTCACCTTCCAGTAGCAAACTACCCACCTGTTCAGACATAGCTTCCCCCAAATGCCTTCAGTCCATCTTTAAAAATCTTTTTTTTTTCAGTCAAACTTTATAGAGCCTTCAGAGCTGAGAGACCTCCGCATGCTCTCTCTATATTAAATTTCATAGTTCACTTTGTACTATACATAACTGGATACAGGGTGCTGGGGGGTCAAAAAAATCATAATGTCAGCCACAAAAAAGGGCCTTCGATTGGGCCTTTCACAGCTCTCATCTTGACTTTTTTTTAAACTCTCCTGCAGAGGCCTCAGGCTGGATGAGTACACTTTAATTTATGCTATATCCCTATTAAATCAAAATGTATTTTGAAAACATTTGTAACAAATCCACTGGATGGATTGTGATTATACAGCAGTGGTAAAAGCATTTGCTAATAGGAAGAAAGAACAAACTATGTCAGATTAGGACTTACATTCTGAAACTATTTAGTTTGGAAAATTCTAATGGGAGACAATTAGACCACCATGTTTCATTTTAAAAAAGGATGTTTGCAATCTGTTTGCTTTAGAACTTTTTACATTTACATTGCAGAAATCCAGGTTTTCCTTAACAATCTGTATTACATATCTATTAAATTAATTGGGTTATTATACAATAATCTGGATTCACATGACTAAGGTAATCACTTTGTTTACTTTGTCTAATTCCATTATATTCAATTATGGGATGGAGTAACTCCAAAAAGGGGGTGCTTTCCAAGGAGGGAATATGCATCCCTTTCCTTTTAAATAATCCCAAAGCAAGAAATGCACCATTTACTTCAGGCCAAAGATTTGAATGGCCACATTCCAAAAAATGGGTAAGGCTAAGACAAAGAAACTGTCACTGCCAGCACAAAAAAACCTTAGCTTAATATTTAGTTTAATTTAAATACATTATTTCCTACATTCTTCAGTCACACTGACAATAATTTGGGGGAATTTGGGTATATAGGTGGATGGGCTGTATCTAAGGTTTCAAAAGTTTGCAGGTTGGAACATCCTTGTCCCTTAGTTTTAAGGGATGAGTCAGAAGGAAGGACACAATAATGAACATTTGCACTGTATCCTAATGTCCAATAAGTTAAGCATCAATTGAACATCCCTGTAGAAGCTAACTTGATATGCTTCCAGAGGTTAAACATCTCAGTCAAGATGGAGAGAAAATTAGGAAGTACTTTCTACTACTGAAATATCTGGAATGATAATATATATACACAGCAGCAAGTACTATTTAGCTCTCAGATTTGAACAACCCATGATACGTGGTTTAACCCATCTTATGCCCTCCAGATGTGTCAACTTTCACTTTACCCAAATGATATGTCCATTAACTCTACTGGCTATAATGATGAGTTGTGGCCGAAGGCTGCCCTAGACAAGCTTCTATTTTTAGCACCAGTCTCCTTTTCAGCAGCACAGGATGATGGGTTCATACAACATACTAAGTTAAAATTAGGTGAGCTGGTTTATAGCTCAGTTGTTTAACTAAGAAAACCAAAGTTCAGTTAACTGTGCTATGTTGAGCAAATACTATCTTTCTGATCTACTTTATAGGTGTGGGAAAATATGATAAATATTCTAAATCACTGACACTAGCCCTATCAAGCTTTATAAGAGCACTTTAACGTAGTTTTTGGCAACTTAACAGGGGTTAAACCAAAGCATCTATGGCATGATAGGGAACCTACATGTAACTGACTTTTTAGTTAAAAGGATTGTCCATTTGAGTTCCAAAAGAAATAGTCAAGTTATTCTGCTTAACCTAAACCTGTTAAAAGCTAACAAATATATTTGCTGAAGTCAAAGTAGTACATTTGATTTATAGTTTTAGTTTATGAACTCAATTGTGACTTATTCAACAAACTAAAGTTCAGAATAGCATTTGAACCCAGGGCTAGGCTGTGTTTCTACAGTATTCTGAACACAAGCTAATTTATATTTCTTGCATGAAGCAGTTTCATTTTATGATTCTGCATGTTACACAAATCCAGAAATTTGTATTAATACAATAAATTACAAGGGAGCATGTGGGGTGAACACAACCATGATCATCCCTTTTGTGTATTAGTCTCCCTTTCTTCCATTAGCTGCCAATCTGACTGAAGCGTGGCATCACTCTTATAGAAGCGTAGCTGTTTTCATTATGTAGTAATAGTGCATTCTATATTAATAAAGAGGAAAGCAAGTTCTTGTTTAAGATACCTTTACATATTTTTAATATTAAAAGATATTAACTATTTTTGGAGATATTAACTCTTAGGAGAGCTTTGCAAGAGCCAAGACAACCGGATGCCTGGCCTCCCACCATAAAGAGCTGCAGTTTCTGCAGCAGCTGTAATCTACATTCTCCATCACCCTCACTAAATTTATTCCCAGGACTGTAACTCCTCTATCTATCTAAAGGGTCACTTGCCCAATTCCTTTTTGTGCTTTGGACGTTTTTGGCATCAATTCACGCTTAAACACAATAGGGAAGCCTAAAGCTGCAGCGCTATTAGTAAAGGCCATGAGCAGAGAGGAAGAACATCCTGGAGCTCCAAAGGACGGCATGGCGGGGGAGGGGGAGAGGGACCGGGCCCCTTCGTCTGTCATGGTGGGTTTTGTGTTGAAAACGAGGCCCCATAACTCCTCGTCCTGCTGCCAAGTTAAGCTGCCAGCCTGCCAGCCACGTCCTCTCTTCCCCTTGCCTTCCTCTGGTCGGCCAGCGCCACCCGTTACTTCGTGCGCAGGCGAGCTCGCCCCTTTCCCCTCCTGAGAGGGCCGACTCCTTCTCGGCTTCCACCATCGAGGCCAACCGTCAGAGGTGCCAGCCACCGAGATTACACTCACGAGCACACACGCTGCTCTTTTCTCCTGAGGCAAAGCTCTGTGTCCGGTAGTTGGACACATTTACTCGAAAATGGCTGATTTTAACAGGAGCTGCCATAACTTCTCAAGATCGCGCCCCACGCGAAGAATAGCACCGAGCCGCCTCGACGTGGGACCCACACTTCCTGTACACACTTTGTTCTCTCCCCTCCAAGGGCTTTATTAACGCTGAACACCTTTCCAGCCCAATTAGACTGAAAGCAACTTCTATTGGTCACTTCAAACCTTTTCCCCAGATTGTCATTTGCAACCAGCAACGTCGATCAACATGTTTTTCTTAACACCCCCCCAGCCGACTCCTCCTGCCTGCCTTTCTCTCTTCCCCCCTCCTCCCCGTTTGCAACATAAGAGAAGAGCGCGCGCCCTTCCTACAGGTAGTAGTTGTAGCGTTCAGCACTTCCCATCGCCTTGTAAGACTAGTGGCCTGAGCGCGTGAACGCGATCCGTGGCGCGCCTTCACTGCTCGCTTTCGACATTCGGAGAGAGAGAGAGAGAACTTGCCAAAGCTGCTGTTAAAAAGCTCGCTTTTACTCTTCCCAGCGAAGCAGAAAGTCTTGGGTAGCAGCAGCTACCATCAGAAAAGTACTCGCGACGAGCAGAAGCCAGAAAGCGTTGCAGGCAGTTCGCCCCGCTGCTACAACCCGGCGGCTCAGCCGTCCCCGCCTTGCCCATCAGCAGGTTGTGGACGGGCGGCGGTTTCTGAAGAGAAAGTGGGGAGGGAGGGAGGAGGGAGCTGATCGCGCGTCCCTCCCCACTCTCGCCTAGGGGGAGGGGAAAGGAGACGAACCTCGCATTGTTCCCCTGGCAGGCGACTCCTTCTGGGCCATGGGCTCCTCGCCTTTGTTCCCAGGCTGAGCGGGCGGGCGCCGAGCGCGTTCTCCTTTCTGATCCAAAGCAAACGCGGAGCTTTCCTGGGGCAAGATGGATGTGACCGTTTCTGAGCTCCTGGAACTCTTTCTGCAGAGTCCTCTGGTGACCTGGGTGAGTTTGCAAAGCGGCCTGGCGTTGTAGAACCGCTCAGTGGGCAGCGAAGGTCGGACCGAGCGCTTCGCTAGGGAGGAAGCCGTGGGATGGGAGGAAGGCGCCTGCCCTCGTGGCGCACCGGGCAGGCCACCTGGGCAAGCGCGCTGTCCGGCCGGCGAGGGGCGAGTGAATTCGGAGGGAGGCTCTGAGCGGCAGGCGTCGAAAGTCAGCTTCACCTTGGTCGGCGGGGCTTTTCTCTGCGCTTCCGAATGGCAGCAAGTTAATGGACATGCTGGGAGCGGGGAGACGGTTATTGCAGCGGAAGTCAATTAGAGAGGTTGGTTCCCCCGCACCGTAAGTTGTTACGCGCCTGGCACTGCCCGACTGGCCAGATCAAAAGATAGATGGAGAGAGAGAGAGAGAGAAAACTCTGGTACGGTGTTGTTGGAAGTACCGCCTCTCGGTTCTGAAAGAAAGTAGTTTTTGTTTTCTTGAGATATGGCAGCAAGGTGTCAGACGCTGGATTAAAAAGAGGAGCCCCCCCCCTTTTTTAACTAGATAGGCATCTGCATTGTAAATACGTGAATGTATCAAACCTCATAAGGAAAAATCTTTTAATAGATGTACAAATCTTGGGTAGATCATAAGTTGTTTTGAGTTACTTATTGTGTATATTGCACTAGAACACTTACAAGACTATATTTGATTATAGCTTCATTGATACGATCTCCTATACTGTAGATTCTCCTTATATACACGATTGTAGGTGTATGTAAGTTTTACCTGTATAGTTATATTGTTGAATTATATTTCCTAATTTGTTTTCTGGTTTGGGTATAGGATTTTACTTGGTTAACCAATTACCTTTTTTATGTTAGAAAGAGGAAGTGGGCCTACTTAATCCAGAGGAGGAAATGTTTCTGAGGTTGGCATTGGGATCCAGCACATTTTAAGGACACAATAATTTGATAGAAAAAAAATATTGGAATTGGAAGAGCAGATGGAAGGATAGAGATCTGTGTGGATAGGTATTTAATTTGCAGGTGTTTATACAAAACTTGCACATTTGCAGGGGAGCCTAGAAAGTAGCGTATGCCTGACTTTATCCGTGTTATTATCTCTTCCTTCGATTTCAGCAAGGCTAGAAAGTGCTTTACCTACCCAGCACTGTTATGCTTTGGAAAGAAAGGAAAAACAAACCAGTCTGACATGACCAACTTTTTTTGTTCTGCTTTTGTAGTCATGCACTGTGTATTACAGATTGAACCCAATTTTACTACATGGTGCAGAATTAGTGATAACAGTTTCACTATCTAAATTCCCTGTAAATAATCATAATAAAACTACACCCAGCACGGAATGAGCTAGCTAGTGCCCCTGGGTATGTTTTTTGTTTGCAGGAAATTCTTACACCGAAATCATTCAGAAATTCAGTTTTACATGCAGTATGGCTATCTTGTTTCGTGTTGTGACATTTATGGATCAGGCCCCTCTATAATCTGATATGGAAGCTCTAAGAAAGTAACAGGAGCAAGACAAGTGTGCTAAATTACTTGTAACATTAGAAGCCAAATATGTTTATGTTGTAGCAGAATTGTTCTGCTCATAATGGCTGACAGAAATTTCAAGATAAACAGATTCTTTTTAAGGAGCAATCTGTTGTCCCAGTCGGTGTGGAGAATTTAAATGAATTTAACAGATCTTGGAAGAAAACTAGATCTGGTTCAGATGAATTTTGAATAGATTTATAGCAGAAATAATCATGGGCATTTCTTTTTCTATTAAAGAAATAGGAGTCTTTTGTGTTCTGCTCTTCACCTCATCTACTAGTATGGCTTCAGATATTATGGGTGAAGCAGCAAGGACAGTACAAATTTCTGAATAATCCTCTAAACAGGATTCCTGGTTAGGGGGAGGTTTGTTCCAATATAGGAGGAGAGGTGAATTCTTCAGACCACCATGTAATTGATGGGGAATGGACCACCTTCCAGCCTAACAGAACCAAGTTTTCTGCCACCAAAAGGAGCCCAATAACCATGTTTGTTGTCTTATTAGTTTCTAACCCTTGAAATACAGTTCAAATGAATGTAAACATGCACCTTCCAGAACAAAATTAGTAACTGTGTTTCATCTTTGAAAGAATTTTCTAAAATAAAGTTTTATTTTGTGTTTCCTGGCAGGTAAAAACATTTGGAGCCCTAGGGAATGATAATGAAGACAAACTTGAAGTGTACATGAATCTAGCAGATGGAGTCTTCTTGAATAAAATAATGTTGCAAGTGTAAGTTAAACTCAAAAGGGCAAATGGCTGTTGAATTATGCTTTTAGAATTGGTAAACTGACATATTTGTATTGGGAATCAGTAGGGCTGAACAAATGCCCTGTTTCCATACTAGGTAGTATGGTGTTTTTCTCCTTGGAAAATTTAATAAAGCTTATGTTTGCTTTTGGAACACTTTTTTGTTTTATGTTATAATTTTAGCAAATTAAAAAAGAACGTAGAAAAGATAATCTGTCATATTGTGCCATTATTAACCAAAAGGAGTTCCTGTTCCATAATACTAGAGTGCATTCTGACATGTATGTGGTTTCTTATGAAAATCTTGATACCTCCAGTTAAAGTTTTTTAGAAAGCAGGGCAGAGAAACTGAGACCCTGGAAAATAGTTGACACTTAATCTTGAACAGTTTTATCTCAAACTGCCCTCCAGATATTTTGGACAACTGCTCCCGTTATCCCTGATTTGCTAACTGGGCTTATAGAAAGTAGAGAATAAAATGTATGGAGGGAGCCAGTTCTGAGAAAAACTGGTGTAGGTAATAGTATGCCTGATTGTCATAAAACTAAGGTAATATTTAGAAGTTGGGAGTGGAGTGAGTTGGCTTTTAAAAAGAAATCCTCCTTTAATAATTTAGTTTAGATGGAAGACCCCTTTGATTTTTATTTTCTGCAACCCAGTTATGTTGGAAATAGAGTACGTAAAGGGGATTATGACTCTTGTCTGTCATCAGGATAACTTTGAAAATTGAGCAGAAAGGCACAAAATTTGGTGTAAGAGAGAAGACAGCAAAATAAAGATTAAGTTCAAAAATAGGCTGGGTCCAGCTGGGGGCTGCAGTGCATCACCACTGGTGAGGCAGCTGAGTGCTTGCTCAGAATGTAGCTGACTGCTCCATTCTAAACCTCTCTACTTCCTTCTTCCTAGGGAGGGCTGCTATTAAGGGACCATAAAGATTTCTATAAGCCATGCTATACATGCTTTCCTTGTTATATTTAGCAAGGTATATTTCACAGTTTAAGAAGTATCTTAAACCTGTCCATTTTAAGAGTTACATTATTTATCACCCATTCCAAACATAGAGCTATCACAGATTAGAAATTAACCTAAAATAGTAATGGATAGGAAATAGTAATGCCTAGGGGAAATTTTAATTTGTGCATAAGTAATTTTTTTTTTAGCTCAGTTGAGATTGACCACATCACTTCCTGTTGCAGAGTTTATGGCTTGATGAAACTACCTGTTCCATTTGAGTTTCATGCTTGGGTTGAAACAGGCACTTTTCAACGAATCTAAGTTTTCTCAAGCCTCAGGGTTTTTTTAAAAGATGTCTTTATTCTGTTCTAATTGCACAACATGCTCACCAATCTGAAAAGTTTACTGATTTCCAGAAATGAACATTTTATGCAGATGTGACATGTGTTTAAAGCTGGGACTGTTGGAGCAGCCCAACAAAGCTGGTTTTCTTCTTCCGTTACAAGAGGGGATTTTTTCTGAAAGCCGTGTTGGCAGCGTGCCCAGTTGTGCCTCAAGATCAATGAAACTAAAACCTTTATCCAGTAGGGTTGGGTCTGTTTAACACGAAACCAGAATGATGGTGTTTGTGTACAATCCAATCTAGCTTCACTGCAAGGTGATCATGGCGACAGTCTGTGACCTTTCTGGCTAGCTGTTTAGGCTTTTCAAAGCACTTATTTCTTCATTGTAAAGCACAGGTTTTTCTTCCTTGATGTTTTTCTTATGTCTGACCTTTTAAAAGAAGAATATCACTTTTTTTTCAGTACAAACCTGTCTATTCTTAAGGCCTGTTGTAAGAATTCAATATATTATTGCGTGGTCTCTTGCCAAATTTGATAGCATATTTTACAATTTCTTGAGATAATATATATACTCCCCATGCTGTTTCCATTGGGGCTCAGTGTGTATTCTGATAATTATCACAGTGTGGTCTTTTTGCTGTTAGTAGCCAAAAAAAATAACAAAAATAGTACTTAAACCTGTCCATTTTAAGAGTTACATTATTTTTCACCCATTCCAAACATAGAGTACTAAGCTACTAACTGCAGTGATCTGTTACTTTGCATCTTTGAACAAAATAAGTTATTCAATCTGTGGTTTCTTACAGTGTAGATTATTCATCCATGCTATATTGGAAAGCCCCCCCAAAATTATCCCCCCCCCCATCTAAGAAGTTCTACAGCTGACCGTCTAGTAAAAAACAAGTTAACCATTAGTTAAGTCCTGAACAAATGTGTGTGGGGGGGGGGGAGGTTGGCTACAAGATCCAAGTACAGGTAGTCCCCAGGTTAAGAATGCCTAGTTTAAGGACAACTTATAGTTAAGAATGGAGCAAAATTTGATTTAAATGCACAATGATTCGAGTTCATTATACAATACTACTTATATAGTATTATACAATAATACTGTTCCGGCTTACATACAAATTAGACTTGAGGACAGACCTTGGGAATGGAACTCATTCTTCAACTGGGTACTACCTGAATAGAATTATTTTATACATCATGATCATATTAAAGTTGAATTATGTAGAATTTAGGGTTGCCCTTTCATATCTTTTAAAGAAGCTCAATAGACTGTAGAATGCGCAGATTCTGGTGTTATGCTTTGTGAGTATAAGGTTGAATTACTGGACTGCTTGCATGAAGATGGTGTGGGCTTGTCTAATGATAGTAATGAGTTAGGGTTTAGTTAAAATTTAATTAAGATGGAAAATTCAAAAATAGTTAAACAGGAGAGGAAGCTAGTCATGTGGGTATATGCTCTATGGTAACATTTCCTGAAGTTTGGTTCCCACTTTAGAATTTAAAAAAATCTTTTTTTCCAATAAGTTTTATTAAATTTCCAAAAGACTAAAATACAAAGGAAACAAAAAGAAACATCAGAAAAGAAAAAGCATAGAAAAAGAAAAGTAACTTCTGACTTTCTTTGGTACAGGTATCAATGTAAAATACGTTCACCTCTTACTCTAATATCTAAACGTCTACATAATAAAACCTAATTTTAAAATCTAACATCCAAAGAAGTTTATAGAATCAATCTATTTCAACAATGCATATGATTTGTAGATATTTCTATAGATATAAAAATACATAAAAATACATCAGTCATCAAATCCAAATTGCATTTTTTTTTTTGAGTATCAAGCAAAAAGTCAAGTCCAGTTAGAAACAAAGCGAGTCAATGTCCTCTCTTTAAGCAAAGAGAATTAGAATAATTCCTGATGATACTGATTGCAGGTGTTCCTCACTTAATAACCATTCATTCAACGACAGGGCTGAATGAATGGTATTTACAACTGGTCCTTGAAATTATGGCCCTTGTAATGCCTCTTTGGTCATGTGATCAAAATGCAAATGCTGTGAGAAGACAATCCACATTTGGAATCAGAATAAACCCTCACCCTTGACAGCCCACCTGCATTTACAACTGCAGTGTGCACTTCAACTCCCCCCACCTGCCTGTCTCCCCCCCATCTCTGACCTTTTCGCTGCCCTGTACTCCACTGCTCCTACTGCCCTACCCTCTGCCCCTTGCACCCTGTACTCTGCTGCCCCAGCTGACCTTTGCCATCTTCTTCCCCCTGCCACTGACAAAGTACACCCAGCCTGGCCCTTCGTGAGGGAGCTGCTGGCTGTGGCAGGGGCAGCAGAATGCAGGTGGCCAAAAGAACAGAGATGGGGGGAAATGGGTGGGTGGGGGGAGTTGAAGCAGAGGCAAGCATGGCAGGGCAGGAGAAGCGTATGGTTCTGGCCTAAGGACCGCAACCGGGACTACTGAAACTGCTGTCGCTAAGAGGCGCAGTCACGTATTTTGCCTAATGACCACCTTGCTTAGCAACAGAAATTCTGGTTCCAGTTAGGGTCGTTAAGCAAGGACTACTTGTAGTATATTCCCACAAAATCTAGAGGCATAATTTCTGAAGATTTCCATAGGGACTGATTAAGTTGTGATGACTTTAGATGCCCTTAAGGAGACTTATTTTTTCCAAATTTAGTAGCAAACTTGAATAGTATATGTAATAGCAAATTTGAAAGAGAATTGATGAGGGCA